CTAAGCACATCCTGCTGAAAGCACCTGAGCTCCCGGGGTGGAGCTAAAGTCAAGATGGTAAAATTTCACAAATGTGTGCGGGGAGGACCACCCCGCTGCATCGCAAATGTCACCAATAGGAACTCCTGACACAAATGCCTTAGAGGCAGCCATACCCCGAGTAGAATGGGCACGGACAGCCAAGGGGGAAGGCTGACCTGCCGACTCGTAAGCAAGTGAGATGGCCTTGACCACCCACTTACTCAACCTCTGCTTCGATGCCGGACAACCTCTATTAGGAGGTCCAAAGCAGACGAACAGCTGCTCAGACTTTCTCCACAGGGCAGATCTGTGGACGTAGGCATCCAGGGCCCTCACAGGGCAGAGCAGATTTAACCTCTCCTGGTCTGAAGTCCGGAACGGAGGAGGACAGGAGGCCTGCAGGATGACAGGCCTGACAACATTAGTTGGGACCTTAGGGACGTACCCCGGTTTAGGGAGGAGAAAGGCCTTCGCCATACCGGGAGCAAACTCAAGGCACGAGGGAGAAACCGACAGAGCCTGAATATCTCCTATTCTCTTCAGGGAGGAGATGGCTAGGAGGAAAATGGTCTTAAGGTGACAAATTTCTCAGGGACATCTTCAATGGGCTCAAACGGTGCCTGGCAGAGCCCCTACAGAACAACCGCCAGGTCCCATGTCGGTACCCTTGTGCGCACTGCTGGCCTCAGCCTCAAAATACCACGCAGGAAACGGCTTACCAGTGGGTGTCTCCCGAGAGAAACTCCACTCAAAGGGACATGGTAAGCTGACAACGCCGCCACATACACCTTCAGTGTGGAGTGGGATAGCCCTGTGGAAAAACGCTCCTGAAGGAATTCCAGCACCGCCGACACCGGGCCGTTAACTGGATCCAACTGGCGCTCTCTACACCAAGAGGTGAACATTTTCCACCTCAAGGCATATAATTTCCTCGTGGACGGAGCTCTGGACTGGAGAATGGTCTCTACGACCTCAGCCGAGAGGCCTGACCCTATGAGCTGGGCCCCCTCAGAGGCCAGGCCCATAGTCTCCAGAGATCTGGGCGGGGGTGCAGTATCGACCCGCACGCCTGGGAGAGAAGGTCCCCCCTGACCGGAATCTCCAGCGGAGACCCGTCCAGGAGAGAGACAAGGTCCGAAAACCAAACTCGGGCCGGCCAGTACGGGGCTATTAACAGTAGACTGACCCTGTCCCGGCGAACCCTCTCCAGAACTCCTGGGAGCAGAGCAATCGGGGGAAAGGCGTACAGGGGTGACCTCGGCCACTCCTGCACCATCGCATCCACCCCCAACGGGGCTGGTGGACTCAGAGCGAACCACAGCGGACACTGTGAATTCTCGCTGGAAGCAAAGAGGTCTACCTCGGCACGACCGAAATGATTCCAAAGGAGCTCCACCACCTCGGGGTGGAGTCTCCACTCCCCGGGCCTCGGCCCCTGCCTCGACAGGAAGTCTGCTCCCTGATTCAGATAACCTGGAATATACACCGCTCTTAAAGAGAGAAGTTTCCCCTGGGACCACAAAAGGATCTGGCGAGCCAGTTTGTACAGAGGGCGAGAGCGCAGGCCCCCCTGATGATTTATATAAGAGACCACCGATGTGTTGTCTGACCGGATGAGCACATGGTGGCCCCTCTGACAGGAAGTGTTTCAGAGCCTGAAACACCGCCAACATCTCCAAGCAATTTATGTGCAGATGACGAAGATGGTCCTGCCACAGACCCCGGGCTGAGCGACCACTCATGATCGCCCCCCAGCCTGTGAGGGAGGCGTCCGTTGTTAAAGTCACACGACGACACGGAGCTCCCAGCACCGGTCCCAGGGATAGGAACCAAGACTCTTTCCACACAGCCAGGGCACGGAGGCACCGTCTCGTGACCCTGATCGTGCGAAACGGGTTTCCCCTCGGGGAAAACCCTTTGGTTCTGAGCCACCACTGTAGCGGTCTCATATGCAGCAGGCCACGGGGAATAACGTTGGACGCTGCCGCTAATAGACCCAGAATTCTCTGATAATCCTTGACCGTGAGTGACTGGCCTAGCTTCGCTTGCCTGACAGCTGCGAGAATCGCTGCTATACGGGCAGAAGACAGATGAGCCTGCATTGTCGTTGAATCCCAAACGACGCCTAAAAAAGTGGTCCTCTGAACCGGAGAAAGCACACTTTTCTTGGCGTTGAGTCTCAACCCCAACCTTCTTATATGGGCGAGGACGACATCTCGATGCCGAATCGCCTGATGCTCCGATTGAGCTAGAATCAACCAATCGTCGATATAATTCAAAATGCGGATGCCCTGGAGCCGCAGCGGAGCCAGAGCCGCATCCATGCATTTCGTGAAGGTTCGAGGAGACAGAGCTAGGCCGAACGGAAGAACCCGATATTGGTACGCTTCGCCCCCAAAAGCGAACCTCAGGAACTTCCGGTGTTGTGGAAGGATGGAAATATGGAAGTAAGCGTCTTTTAGATCTATCGTGACAAACCAGTCCTCGGATCTGATTTGTGACACGATTTGTTTGAGAGTAAGCATTTTGAACTTGAGCTTCCCCACAGAGCGATTCAACAGGCGCAGATCTAAAATCGGACGTAACCCCCCATCCTTCTTTGGAACGATGAAATATCGGCTGTAAAAACCTGACTCTCTGTCGGGAGGAAGAACTCGTTCTATCGCCCCCTTCAGTAATAACGTTTTCACCTCCTGTTCCATAACCAGAGCCTGCTCGGGGACCACCACTGTGGGTAGAACCCCCCGAAAGCGAGGCGGGCGCGACCTGAACTGGATCGCGTACCCTAACTCGATATTCTGCAGGACCCATTGAGACACATTTGGAAGACCTTTCCATTCCGCCAAAAATTCTACTAAGGGTACCAGTCTCTCGAGACTGGCCTCTGGATGTTGTAAACTGCTCCTCTGTGTCGGCGAGCGTCCCTCGGGAAAACACTCGCCGGGACCGACCACGCCCCCACCCGCGGGCTGGGTTAGTAGACCGGTCCGCCGAGGGCGCCGTGAAAGAGCGGGCACCGTATACAGCGGTGAACACCTCTCTTCCACGGTGGGGACCACCCTCAGCACCCTGACAGCACCCATGACGTCAGGGCTTCTTCGACGAGGCCTTCCTGGCGACAATAACTGTCCTCAGATCAGTTTTGTCCCGGGAAGACCTCGCCTGAGAGCGCCGCGTCTCAACCCAGTTTTGCTGAGGCGGAGCGCGAGACGCGACGCTCTTTTTCTGTTGCGCTCTATGCGAGGAGCTAGGCGACGGGCGGGGCTGCTCGCACCCAGCAGCCGCGGAGACATGCACCCGGAGGGGGATACATTTCTGGAGCGCCGCTGCCTGCTTTTTTGCCTCCTGAAACCTTTCGATGACTGAATTTACAGAGTCACCGAAGAGGCCAACAGCAGACAGCGGCGCATCCAGAAGGAAAGCTTTGTCTTTCTCTTTCATATTAGACAAATTGAGCCAAAGATGCCTCTCAGTGGCCACCAAGGCTGCCATAGAGCGGCCGATTGATCTTGCCGTCTCCTTGGTGGCCCGGAGAGAAATATCAGCTGCTTTTCTTAGCTCTCCCATGGTGTGCGGGCTAATAACTTCCCCCTCACTAACTTCCTTCAGTAAATCTGCCTGGTAAGCCTGAAGAATAGCCATAGTGTGAAGACATGAGGCTGCCTGTCCCGCCGCCGAATAAGCTTTGCCCACCAGCGCCGAGGTGTTTCGAAGCGGCTTGGTGGGCAACGCCGGCACTTTAAAAGACGATGCCGTATCAGGAGAAAGGTGGCTCGCCAACACTTCCTCCATCCTCGGCACCGTCCCATACCCCTTGCTTTTCACCCCAGAGACGTTGGAGTATAAAGATGTTTGCTGGGTAAATATCCTAGCAGAAACGGGTCTGTTCCAAGATCTCGACACCTCAGTGTGTAGATCTGGGAAGAACGGTAACTGCCGGCGTGGATGAACTGAATGCGATGAGAGAAAACGCTCGTCTAATTTACTTTTTACTTTCGATTCACGTTTCTCTGCTGGCCAATCAATGCTTAACTTCTGCACTGCACGAGTTAGAACATCCATAAGCTCCTCATTTGCTGGAGACTGGGATGGCGAGTCCCCTGTCTCCATAGTGTCCACACTCACAACATCCAGCTCCTCGGAGCTGGATAGCTGCAGTGACGGCGCCTCGTCCCGAGCGGGAGAAACCGCAACGCGGACCCCCGCTCGATCAGAGGCGCCGGATCTGCCAGGTAAGGGCAGAGATAGAGTCCCTTCGGAACTCGTCTCCATCCCCGCTGACAGATCCATCTGCGATCCCCACGATGCGAGCCTTCGCTGTGCCTCGGCAGCAGCGGGACCCGAACCGCGGGGAGCGCGAACCGAGCCACTCTCCTCAAAGAGAGCCCGGCGGGAGCGGAGCGTCCTCATGGGCAGACGCTCGCAATGCTCACAGCCAGCCCCCTCGAGAGCTGACTGGGCATGATGCACTCCCAGACAAGCAACACACAGGTCGTGTGTATCCCCACCCGTGATGTATCGTGGGCAGGGAGGAACACACTTCCTAAACTGCTGCTCGCTCGCCATAATATAACATTTTTTTTTTTTTTTTGTGAAAAACTCCTGCCTAGCAATCACTAAGGACAGACAAAAACACCAAATGGACACAGACTGATATAGATCACACAGAGAGCGCTTGCTGAAGACTTCAGAAGCTGTCGCGCTTGTGTTTGTGGTGTGCTTTATAGTTTCCTGGTCGATACGTCACCCCGCCTATGACGTTCCTTCTCGCCATTGGACTGATTTCATACGTGCTTCATACGCACTCACGCAGGGTGCGATTGCGATTCCCATTGCGATTACACGCAGCTCGAAGTTCCCTGAACGGGAACTTAGGTATTCCACCTTTAACCACCGGTGGTGGTACACCATGTTGGTACATCTTTTCTTATGTGAATGATGATTTATGTGAACATTACCACACGATTGAAGCACACGTTTTTTGTTTTTGTTTTTAATAAATAATAGGTTAGCAATTTAATGTTACATCACAACCATGGACACATTTGGATTTGTGCATATTGAGAGAAGTACATTAGCCCATACATTTATAATAGTAACTTTCTCTGTAAGTCCCTGTAAATTTTTCCTGTAAATTCAGTCATCTGAAAGATATGTATATAGATATAGATGCTCTTTGTCTTTTTATTAGGCTAATTAATCTTATGAAAAATGGAAACTTCCACAAGCACAAATACATTCAACATAAATGGGCAAGTTTGACCAAATCTCAATTATTTTATCAAATTTAGAGGCTGCCATTATGATCTCACAAAGTCTATCATGATATCTTTTCAGAAATTGCTTCAGGATTCATAATCACATCTTGTTGTCTGGTTCTTACTTAACTTATGTGCAAAGCAATTGGGATATACAGGTCATTGTGGTCACAAGTTCCTTATATCTACTGAAGGAATTTAGTATAACTCTGCTCAAACGAGCTGAATATGAAGAGGTGAATGTATTTGAGTAAGTGATGCAGAGAACATCACAATCACACTGACAATTTAAGTTCCGCTTCCCCCAACAAACTGAAATCCATTTAGTATGATATAACACAGTTCATCTCATCAGACAGATCCTCTTCGAGGCGTCCTATTCGTTGCCCTGCCCTCCCTTGACTTAGGAGGTCATTTGCAGCGCTCTCCATTTCGTCAATAGTCATGTGACAGGCACCTGCAATTTCCCGTTTTGCAAAGTCAACAAATTTGGGGTCTTTTGCATATAGACCCAAGCCTTCAGAGATCAGGATCTAAAAGATACAAAAAAGAAGACCACAGAAGATGGATCAGAACAGAGCTGAAATCCAATGACTACACACTATAAAAGCAGTTCATTGCACTGGTAATTAAGGTGCGTCATATTAAATGGGGTTTAAAGTTTTGTATTCAGAATTATTGAAGATCAGTTTTTTTTAGTAAGCTTATGAAGTAATAACATCAAAATGTTCAAATATTTTTAATAGATGATATTATATAATCTGATGATCAAAAAGTCTGTTGTGACATTAGATGAACAAACAAAAACTTTCTTGTTAAATTGCTCAGGCACTTAAAAATAAACTTATTTATTTAAACTTTATTGTAAATAAACCATCCATGTATTTCTAATAGTTTGGTCTTTTGGAAGGGATCTTTCTCTGTACCACTCTTGTGATTTTGTTAAGTCATATTAAGAGCAAGCCACCTTGATTTAAAATGCATGTCAATGGGGTGTAGAAGAAAATTGTGACATCACAACTTCAAATGTGAATTTCAAAGCCTGGCATTTCAGAAGGATGGAAAACAAAAAACTCATATTTTGGACAGGGGAGTTGGCTTTGAGGTATGAAACTTGCATGTTTTATTTTATATGTGTAAATATGAAAGGACATTTTAATTTTCCATTTCATGACCTTCTCAAAAATAAAGCCTATGATTCACTGCTGTATTAAAGGATTAGTTCACTTTTGAAAAAAAACTTTTGCTGATAATTTACTCACCCCCATGTCATCCAAGATGTCCATGTCTTTCTTTCCTCAGTCGAAAAGAAATTTAGGTTTTTGATGAAAACATTCCAGGATTTTTCTCCATATAATGGACTTCAATGGGAACCGGATGGTTCAGGTCCAAAAGATAGTGTTAATAACAGTTTCAGATGCAGCTTCAAATATCTTTAAACGACACCAGACGATGAATAAGGGTCTTATCATGCGAAACGATCGGTTATTTCAATGCTTATTCCAAAAATGTAACTATTCTAAGGACAAATGCTAGCCTTTCTCCATTCTGTGAGGCGCGTTTGTAACGTCACGTAATACGTAATTACGGTCAAAAGGTCACGGGCGACGTAGCCGGAAGTACAGAATCAAAATCGTCCGACATCGTTGTTTTCCCTTTTAATTCCTTTTTTGTAAACGGCGTTTGAGTTAGTTTGCACGTTCAACCTATGCGTTCAACTTGTAAACACTCTGACTCTGTACTTCTGGCTACGTCGCCCGTGACCTTTTGAACGTAATTACGTACTACGTGACGTTGCAAACGCGCCTCACAGAATGGAGAAAGGCTAGCATTTGTCCTTAGAATAGTTACATTTTTGGAATAAGCATTGAAATAACCGATCGTTTCGCATGATAAGACCCTTATTCATCGTCTGGTGTCATTTAAAGACATTTGAAGCTGCATCTGAAACAGTTATTAACTGTCTTTTGGACCTTGAACCATCCGGTTCCCATTGAAGTCCATTATATGGAGAAAAATCCTGGAATGTTTTCATCAAAAACCTAAATTTCTTTTCGACTGAGGAAAGAAAGACATGGACATCTTGGATGACATGGGGGTGAGTAAATTATCAGCAAAAGTTTTTTCAAAAGTGAACTAATCCTTTAAGACAAAGTCCAGCTTGAATCGTTTTTATAGTCACTGAACCTGCGTAAATAACAACTATCCTTATTACTTCGGGTTATTTGATACACCATTCAGTAAGGTTATTTACCGACTCCACAAGGCTGTCAGCGCTTCCCTTCTCGATGTATCCGGAGCTCTGTTGGGAGGGCACTCTGAGAGTGTTGTACGCCCGAGGCAGCTGGGCTACACCTGCCATTCCACTGCCAATCCACCCGGGACGGGCCGATGCCGGCAGGCTGGCGCTGCCATTGGCGTCACTCCACATAGCCTGAGTGCCCCCCATCTCGTTCACTAGAATAAGGGGGGCATAGAGGAGAGGACCCCGCCTGGCCTGGTTGTTCATCCAAGAGGCCGAAGAAACTGCAGATGAAATGCTGCTCCGCCGTGAGTCTAAGCTGTTTTGAGTCTGTGGGAGCACATACATTATTTTCATTATTGGTGTGAAAACAGTGAAACAGAAATTTGTCATTGAAACAGAATTTAATGGTTTATTATTTTATTTTGCACAATTTGTGTCAATGGTAAATTGCTGGTGTATTCCAGCGCAGTCTCATCCCAAGACTTCATATAACTGACGTCTTGGGACGTCTTTTGAACGTATTCACCTAATTATGATATATCTTATTCTATATATGAATATATATGATACTTTATTATGATACTTCGAAAAAAATCTTTTCAACCCTGTAAAGCCTGAGATAGAAAAAAATATGTCCAAACATTTATCTAATTGGTACAATTTTAAAATTATAATGTTATGTAAAATAATGTATTTTTTTAAATGTTTTTAAATTACAAATATTTTTGCATACTTGTATTACATTTGTTACAGTAGGTTTTTATTGCAATTTATAGATGTAAATGTATTTTTCTTGATTTTATAATCATAAATTATCTATTTTGGTATGTGGTCGTCAAAAAATAACTTAAGCAGTGACAAGATAAATATATTGTAAATATAAATGTAAAAATGTATATTACTGTATTATGTAACATTTATATTATATATAGATTATTTATATAAATGTGGATAATAACAACTAATATAGATTGAATAAAATTACAAAACCAGCCTGTTGTGGATTTTCTGCTGTGAGGAGGTTGCGTGACAGTAAGCTGCTTCATGTAGAGACTGAGGGACTGTTTGCGCATGCGCAGTGTGTTCGAAAAACTTGCTGTCCACCGACAGTCCAAGGTCTTCATTATTCCTTTGTACAACAGTGTGCGTCGGTGATGATGTAAGTTATGTGACGAGTAGATGTTGTTTATATATTTGAAGGTGGCGTGCATTATTAATCTCACCGGGGTAATATGTTTATTTGTTAACTTCTTATGTAGCACGTGTTACTAAAACCACATGAAACCGACGGCCCGTCATGTTTAGTTAATTACCTTACATTTATTTCCTTATTTGACTGTTTATTTTAGCTGTGTAGCCTTTGTTCATTGAAGCCGTTATTATATTGACGTTAATGTGTCAAATTAAAGCTGGTAGCTGACAGGGTTTTCCCATTTTAGCTTGGTCATCATGCGACCTACTTGTGGCGCGAAGCTGGTGTTGTTAAATGATCCTACCCTGACCCCTAGCAGTGATTTATAGTATTACATGTTATTCATATCTGCTGTAATTCATGTTATTTTCACCATTGATGTCATTGAACTTTAATTAGTATTAATATTGTTTTACTATTGTTGTCTTCTGCAGGCATCACAAACCACACATACACATATTGCAATGCCCTGTAGAGTTGTAAGAGGCCAATAAAGTTGTAGGTTTTGATTTGATTTTGACACATACCAAGGTCGCGTCATGTCCATTGTGAATAGACAAATGATTTGTCGCTGGAATCTTATCACATTGCGTCTGGTTAGAGCATGGTGTCATGTTTGATATATGATTATTGAATGTGTAAATTGTTAAATCTCTGATTGTTGGGGTCATGGAATGTCTGAGAAGTGACGTACTGTCTTCTGGTGATAGTCAGTGTTGGTTGGTGTCCTTTTGTGCAGACTATAAAGATACAATTCCAAATCTGGAGAAAAGTTACCTGTATACGTGTCCTACAGGGTGGGGAATTTTGGCTGTAAGTGCCTGGGATTGGGAGATCCTCATTGCTGCCTTGCCTTCTCAAACACTGGATGTTAAAGTTGGGCTTTCGGCCTGACAGATACAGGAAAAAGTAATCAGTGGAAGGTTCACTGCAAGGTTTAACACATTATTTTTTTTTGCAGTGCAGAAAGATAAAAGCTGGATTTACCTAAGGGAGTTGGTGGAAGCATGCGTCGCCGAGCAGCAAATCCAGTGCCACTGTGTTCATTGTTGTTGTATCCGTTACCATTGTATCCATTACTATGATAACCGTTACCATTGTAGCCATTACTGCTATAGCCATTGCTGGAGTAACGATTCCCTGGATAATCAGTCCCATTGGTACCATTCCCATTGTAGCCATTTCCAGGGTAACTATTTCCATTGTAGCCACCAACAACTTGGCTGTTGCCTTGGTAACTATTGCTGATATTGTCAATGGGCTGAACTGGGGCCACACATTCACTGCTCCCATTGGGTGCTGCAATTTGTGCCGGAGGAACCTCAGGAAACCACTGTCTGTTCAGACATTATCACAAAATCAGACAGATATATTACAGTTTTTTTTTTCGATTGCTAAACGACAGTGAGCACAACTGGAGCTAAATGTGCAAAACTCTAACTACAGTCTGCACTATGAACAGTCACCTGAGCACAACTCTTAACACATGGCTCAAAACAGGCTCAGTGTGCACAACACTATGCACAACCCTTACTGAGATAACACACTGAGAGGAAAAACACTAGCATCAAACACCAATACAGAAAATACAAACTTTTCATCTTTAAAGTTTCAACAATTTCTGTGAGTTCATACAAAGTAATATTTCCTTCAAAGAAAAGAGTGACATTCTTTCATTTGATATATTTACATTTTTAGAACATAACAATAGAAAATTAGCAGTTTGCTTCAATAGTCTGTGGTATTACAGTAATGAGAAAAAAAGGTAGAAACTAAAAGTACATACTGTAATACTGTAACCCTGCCTCTCCGTTCAGCTGAAATTGTTTGAAAATCAGCAGTGTGTGAAAGGCACAAGGCTGAAATTTATTCTGTTTTGAATGTGTGGTTCACAGTTTTGACAGCAGAGTGTTAGCATTTGAACAAAGTGCTGTAAATTCACAGTGCTGTGCAGGTTGTGTTTAAATTCATGGGATAAGTGTGTAGAGTTTTGAAAACTGTGTTCAAGCAATGAAAAATAAACTAGAGTTTGGTCTGCATGAACTGCTGCTGTGCAGACTGGAGTTAGAGTTTTGCACATGTAGCTCCAGTTGTACTCCACTGTAGTTTAGCAATCGAAAAAAACTGTAATTTGTAAGAAAAGCTTGTAAAATTCAGACACAGTCACAGTCATATAATCACAACAATATTCTTTTTAGTTTTTCACATTTTTCTTTTTTTGAAAAACCTTTGCAGCGGTGTACTGATAATAAACACCCCATTGCCAGCCGTGCATCAGAAAGTGGCATTTAGATGAATATACAAGTAGGTGCTACACACTTTCCTCTCAGTAAAAAAACAAACAAACCACACTACTGACAGGTTATAAAACAGCGGTTAAGATGTGTACATATTTGCACCAGCTCTGCATTCTGGCAGAGAGAATATTTAAGTTATAATATAATATATATATACAAGTTGTTATCTACAAATTGTTGATCTGCTAACTCTCCTGACTGCTTTGTTGAACAAAAATGGTGGATTCGGCTGATGGCGGATTATGATTGCTAATGGACCGATAATCGATATGGACCAATTTGTGGACCAATTAGTTTTAAGAGGTTTACCAGCAGGAGTGAATCTTTCTGGAAAGTTCACTTTACCAAGATGTTTCGTAAATGTAAATAAACAAATTTAGTTTTGGCCTGATTTAGATTTGAAATGATGTCGTACGAGTTCGTTCTTTGGTTTTGTTTAAAGTATATCAGGGCCTTGAATTATTTTGGGTAGTCAAACATTTCCTACTAACCTATCATGTGAGACAGCACTATGAGGGTCCTCCCTGCTAACAGCACTTTGCTCTGGAGGATTTGGCATCTCTGTTAGTCCTCCTCCTGTGACTGCTCCTTCCATCACTCCTTCACCTCCACCTCCTACTTGTATGGCTTCTCCAGTGACTGCTTCTCCATTCCCTCCTGGAATTACGACCCCTCCTCCGACTCCTCCATCCGGAGATGGGGGAGGAATATATTCACAAGCACTAGTTGTATTATTCCTGAATATGAGAGTTTAACAAGAAATACATAAAGATGATATACAAAAATACTTTATGAAAGCATGAAAAACATTCCAGTCACCCGCATTTCTTCCAGCTAACTGCAATAAGCGTTTCTCTATAATCAGGAATACACTACACAACTTTTAAAATCTGAACAGAGGTGCTATATGTAACTTTTCTTCTAAAATGAATCCTTTTTTTCTTGCCTCTGTGTGAAGGGGTTGTAATCACACATTATAATCATCCACTTGTCGGGTTTTGCTATTACCTCTGAAGGTTAGTATTCCTATATCTATTTGAAGTCTCCGGGTCGGATTTTCTGCAAAATCCATCGGATGTGACGTCCATGCTACGAGAAAGATTCATCTTCTTGAGATATTGAAGCCAAAAAAATGTCCTTAATTTTGTATTCATTGTCAATGCGTTAAAAAGCTACCCTGCCCCCGTACGCATGCGTCACCGGCGAAATGAGGAAATAGAGTGTTAGTCCCGCCGAGGCCGGACTGACCCCCGTTTTCTCAAACATTTTTAAGCTCCTCTTAGTTTGAGCGGCTTGTAATGTCAATACTACAGCAATGAGCCTGTTATTTAACACGCACGCCTGCAAACAAGCGCCAACACACAAAACTGTGATGACGCTCTATTATCTGCTCGCTAAAGCTTATGTCTTTTGCCCCTGTGGCTCAGTGGCGAAACACAAAGCTTTCCCGCCGGCTCTCACAGCGAATAAAAATGTTCTGCAGCTCTCCCCTCTGAGCCAGGGCTAGAGACCCATGTTCGATCCCAGCTCTCGCAGCAGATAAAATTTATGTGGCTCTCCTTAGCGAACTGCCGTATTCAGATGTGGCTCACGCCGATGGTGTTTTAAGTGTAGAAAAGGTGCCTCACGCTCACGCTTACTAACACACATCTCTCCCCACGCATTCCAGAGCTGTCACAAAACACCACCCATCCCAAGCGATCGCAGCGTCACATATAATTGGAAGTCTCGTACCCGCTCACGAGGGCTATTGTAAAACGCTCCCCATCCAAAGCGATCGGGGCGTCAAATATGTATGTATGCTCACAACCGCTCATGCTTACTAGTAAACTCTATGCACAAGGCGATGCTCGCGCTTCACAAAGTGATCCCCATTCATGGCAATCGGGGCATCATATATGAAACAGCCTGTAACTGCTGTCAGCGAGCCGCCGTATTCAAACACCGATGGTGCACGCGTCACGCCCACACCTCCGGTTCAGTTTCTGGGCCCACGCAGTGTGGTGATCAGAACCTGGAGGCCATTCAGCCCCTAGCTATACATATATAAAACATGGGTTTCAGAATGGGTGCTAAGCACAATAAGGCAGGGCTATTCGCTACAGTTTGTTCGCCGTCCCCCGCGCTTTAGAGCACGGACCACGACTGCAGTGACTGCGGAAGTAGCACATCTACTCCACGCAGAAATGGCAAAGCGGCTGTGCAAAGAGACTATAGAACTGGTACCGCCTTCTCTGAGCGAGTCAGTCTTTTACAGCCGTAATTTTCTCGTGCCAAAGAAGTACAGAGCCCTCAGTCAGGCCTATCTTAGATCTGAGAAATTTGAACAAAGTGCTTATGAAAATGCTTACGACCAGGAAAATCCTTGGGCACATTCGCCCGAGGGACTTGTTTATCTCTCTCGATTGAAAGATGCCCCGTCCTGCCGTTCGGCCTGTCTCTAGGACCCCGGACATTTACGAAGTGCATGGACGCAGCTCTCGCCCCTTAAAAAATCAGGGTTTGCGAATCATGAACTATCTGTTCATTGTTTATCGACATAGCGTGCGCGCCGTGTTCGACATCTAACCGTGTCTTTCCAGAAGGGTAGCAGCATCCCTCTCAAGACATTCAGAGGATGCTGGGCTGTATGGCCTCAGCTGCAGCAGTGCTTCAGCTAGGCTTACTGTGCATGTGCCTGCTTCAACACTGGCTGAATGCTCGAGCGTCTCACCGAGCTTGGGCCTCTTGCTACGAACGAATCAGGTTGTTCAACGGGTACCCACCATTCATTGATCAATGCGTGGTTGATCAACAGGTACACACTGCCCTGCCAGAAAGAGTGATGAACACATTTTTAAAGTCTAGAGCTCCCTCTACCAGAAAGCTTTATGTGTCTAAATGGTCTGTGTTCTCCAAATGGTGCACCGACAAAAATCTGGACCCACAGACGTGGGGTCTCGGGGCTGCTCAGTTTCCTACAAGAGCTGTTGGATAAGGGACGGTCCCCATCCACGCTTAAAGTCTATGTGGCGGCCGTTGCAAGCTTGTAATCAGCTTCCTTAGAGGAGCCAGAAGGATGAACACCCCGCGCCCCCCGTCGGTTCCTATGTGGGATCTTTTGTTGTTCCTCGATGCCCTGAAAGCTTTTCCTTTTGAACCACTAGATTCTGTGGAGTTAAAGAACCTGTCACTCAAAACCGTTTTTCTGACAGCTCTGTCATCAGTTAAACGTGTGGGGGACTTACACGCGCTGTCCGTCAGCGCTACGTGTCTTGAGTTCGGGCCAAATGACACGAAAGTCATCCTCAAAACTAGACACGACTATGTTCCAAAAGTGATTGGCACACTGTGATGATAAAAAGGTTCTGTGAGATGTGTGGGTGATGGAAGGAGACACGGGGGCGCTCTCTGCACTCAAAATAGATTAACTCAGAATAGAACAAAAGAAAACAAAAATTCACAATAAATCTCTTCCTGCTGGCTACAGCTTCACGTGCTTGGTCTCTGCACACTCTTCCCGCTGGCTACAGCTTCTCGCGTCAGGTACAAAACGTCTTGCCGGTCCGTGCACGAGCTCCCAGTCTCTCTCTCAACTCGTTGTCAGCATGGGCCGCTTATATGCGGTCTCCTCACGCCAATTACTGAATTCACAGACAGGTGTTCGTCATTTGAACTTGTCCCACTTACTCGCCGCCTGGCTCCGCCCCTGCTCTCCCACCACAGACTTCGCTGAACCACGCACCCCTCACCACACACACCTTTCAGAGCGCAGGTCATTTCTCTATTGGCTCTGCCATCATATGAAAGCGAGAGCAATGTTAATCTCCTCTGCCCATTCAGGGTGCTGAGGGTTTACACTGCATGGTCCGCCACTTTCAGGTGCTTGGAGCAGCCTCCGTTTCGATTTGTGGGTGCACCAAGGGTCTCGCCGCCTCAAAACAAAGCCTGTCCAGATGGATTGTGGACACTATAGCTGTCGCTTACGCGCCGCAAGGTCTGCAATGCCCCTTCGGCATCAGGGCTCGTTCCACTAGAGGCATGGCCTCATCGTGGACATAGTCCAGCGGAATTCTATTCACTACATATATGTGTGGCGGCGGGCTGGGCCTCCCCGTCCACCTTTGTCAGGTTTTATAACCAAGAAGTTCCCGCTTTGCAGGCAAAACTTCTGTCAGTTTAAGTGAGATGTACGTTCTGTCCAGATATGATCGTGCACAGGCTACTCTCACGTGTCATAGCTCTTCTGGTTGAGTTGCACGATTCGGTATGTGCTGTATGCTTACACAGACCGGCGGCTTCGCTCTGTATTCTCTATGAGTGCTTATGTACACTGCTGGCCCGTGTTGCTGGCCGCCTTATTTTCCCACTTATCTGGGTTCCCCGGGAAACCCTGGGATTCATGAGTGGATGCTTGGCGTGCACGGTGTTGACAAAGGTTTCCTGTAGCGTTAGCTAACTTACGTAATACGAGAGAACCTCTCGTAAGAGATCTGTGATTTTATATCGGTTTTTCTTTATATCGTATTGGTTACCTAATGTACCCTCGGTTGTCTCTAGAAGAGGGAACGAGTATTGCGTAACCTGCCATGCTTGCGCCACGAGCGATTATCCCTTCAGTCGAAAACCAGAGAAACAACCTCCGAGCCCTGCTTATATATGCTAAGCCACGCCCATACTGGCGGGCTATGACGCTATGAAGACGTGAGCGCCCTTCATTGTATGTGATGTCACGTCGGGCTCAGTGGTAGGCTGCTGCAGTTCCCGCAGGGCAGCCTATGAGCACACTAGACAGCCTGCTCTAGTTCTACTAGCTGCTGCACCGCGTTGACAATGAATACAAAATCACAGATAATTTTTTGGCTTCTCTACCTCGAATTTTTCCTGTAGCGTAAGCTAACTTACGCAATAATACTCACAATAATACTCCCTCTTCTAGAGACAACTGAGGTTACGATAGGTAACTGATACGTTACTGCGCGCAAGGATCTGTTCATAGCCAATGAGACCGACATGCTTGTCAGGGCAGTGAAAGACAGAGAAGTGACGTTGTTATGGGGATGGGAGAAACCCACCCAAATCTGTGTCGGTTAAACATTATACTGTATATACACATGTTTCTTGCCACTATTGGGCAAACAGGTTTGATCCTACTACAATAAGCCTTAAAAAAACTGGGTAATTAGGTTTTTTCATCTTCATTTAAACCACAATGATTTCCCTCATTTGTTCATATTTTTCCTTGTTATAATGTATGATTTGGAAAAATAAAAACTGCTGCATCTGTGTTGATGAGAGAATCAAAGTGTATGCGCTTTGTGCACCCGCTACATTATGGATTATGAACAACGCACAACACGACACTGACTTTAGACCAGGTTTTTTTCCGGTCAGTGGCGCAATTGTTTTCTGGAACTGTAAAATAGCACTAGGGAATGTTTGCGCCGAATCACGCCTCCTTTTTGTGCTGATCCACCCAGGGAGCACAAGTTAATTTCCTAGTTTACCGACGTGCGTCTTTGGAGGAAAAAAGCCCTCTTTGCGCAGGTGCAAAATAGGAATGATACATGCGTTTGTGTATAAAGTCATTTGCGCCGGGTGCAAGATAGAGCCCTATATGTCTTTTCACGAGTTCACACTTACAAATAAGTCAGATAAAATAAATACGTATTTGGCGTGCTGTCCGGGGAGAGGGCTCCGGGCTTGGTATGTGGCCCGAAACCCAGAAGAGAGGGCTCCGGGCTCAGTATGCGGCCCG